GTAGGCTAACATTAGCCACCTAGGTAGCTACCTAGTTATGTAGCTAGCTAGCTAACGTCAGCTATGCTAGCGATGATAGTGATAATGGTTATCAAAATATACATACAGTGCCTTCAGAAAGTATTCCCACCCCTTTACTTTTTCCACATTTTGTTGTGTTACAGCCTGAATTAAAAATGTATTAAATAACATTTTGTGTCTCTGAACTTCACACAATAGCCCATAATGTCAAAGTGCAATTCTGTTTGTAGAACATTTTTTAAATTAATAAAAAAAATGAAATATCTTGAGTCAATAAGTATTCAACCCCTTTGTTATGGCAAGCCTAAATAAGATCAGGAGTAAAAATGTGCTTAACAAATCACATAAGAAGTTGCATGGACTCATTCAGTGTTCAATAATAGTGGTTATCATGATTTTTGAATGACTACTCAATCTCTGTACCACACATATAATGATCTGTAAGGTCCCTCAATCGAGTAGTGAATTTCAAGCACAGATTCAACCACAAAGACCAGGGAGGTTTTTCAATGCCTCACAAAGAAGGGCGCCAATTGGTAGATGTCTAAAAATAAAAAAAGCAGACGCTGAATATCCCGTTGAGCGTGGTGAAGTTATTAATTACCCTTTGGATAGTGAATCAATACACCCAGTCACTACAAAGATAGAGGCGTCCTTCCTAACTCAGTTGCCGGAGAGGAAGGAAACTGCTCAGGGAGTTCACCATGAGGCCAATGGTGATTTAAAAACAATTATTGAGTTTAATGGTTGTGATATGAGAAAACTGAGGATGGATCAACAACATTGTAGTTACTCTACAATACTAACCTAAATTACAGAGTGAAAAGTTTCCAAAACATGTATCCTGTTTGCAACAAGGCACTAAAGTAAAACTGCTAAAAATGTGGCAAAGAAATTTACTTTATGCCCTGAATACAGAATGTTATGTTTCGGGCAAATCCAACACAACCCATCACTGAGTACCATTCATCATATTTTCAAGCATGGTGGTGGCTACATCATTTTATGGGTATGCTTGTCATCGGCAAGGACTAGAGAGTTTTTTTGTGGATAAAAATAAACAGAATACAGCTATAAATATAAGGCACAATCCTAGAGGAAATCCTGGTTCAATATGAAATAAGTCGAGGGGTATGAATGCTTTCTGAAGGCACTGTAACCAGATACAGTGCATTCGGAAAGTATTCAGACGCCTTACATTTTACATTTTAGTCTTTTAGCAGACGCTCTTATCCAGAGCGACATACAGTTTTTTAGTGAGTGCATAAATTTTTCATACCCTTGACTTCTTCCACATTTTGTTACGTTACAGCCTTATTCTTAAATTGATTAAATTCTTTTTCCCCTCAATCTACACCCAATACCCTATAATGACAAAGCAAAAACAGGTTTTTAGAAATGTTTGCAAATGTATAAAGGAAAAAAAAAAGATTCACATTTACATAAGTATTCAGACCCTTTACTCAGCACTTTGTTGAAGCACCTTTGGCAGCGATTACAGCCTCAAGTCGTCTTGGGTATGACGCTACAAACGTGGCCCACCAGTATTTGGGGAGTTTCTCCCATTCTTCTCTGCAGATCCTCTCAAGCTCTGTCAGGTTGGATGGGGAGCGTCGCTGCACAGCTATTTTCAGGTCTCTCCAGAGATGTTTGATCGGGTTCAAGTCCGGGCTCTGGCTGGGCCAATCAAGGACATTCAGAGACTTGTCCCGAAGCCACTCCTGCGTTGTCTTGGCTGTGTGATTTGGGTCGTGGTCCTGTTGGAAGGTGAACCTTCGCCCCAGTCTGAGGTCCTGAGCAGGTTTTCATCAAGGAACTCTCTGCACTTTGCTTCATTAATCTTTCCCTCGATCCTGAATAGTCTCCCAGTCCCTGCCGCTGAAAACATCCCCACAGCATGACGCTGCCACCACCATGCTTCACCGTAGGGATGGTGACAGGTTTACTCCAGATGTGATGCTTGGCATTCAGGCCAAAGAGTTCAATCTTGGTTTCATCAGACAATCTTGTTTCTCATGGTCGGAGTCCTTTAGGTGCCTTTTGGAAAACTCCAAACGGGCTGTCATGTGCCTTTTAGCGAGGAGTTGCTTCCGTCTGGCCTCTACCATAAAGGCCTGATTGGTGGAGTGCTGCAGAGATGGTTGTCCTTCTGGAAGGTTCTCCCATCTCCACAGAGGATCTCTAGAGCTCTGTCAAGGTGACCATTGGGTTCTTGGTCACCTCCCTGACCAAGGCCCTTCTCCCCCGATGGCTCAGTTTGGCCGGGTGGCCAGCTCTAGGAAGAGTCTTGGTGGTTCCAAACTTCTTCCATTTAAGAATGATGGAGGCCACTGTGTTCTTGGGGACCTTCAATGCTGCAGGAATTTTTTGGAACCCCAGATCAGTGCCTCGACACAATCCTGTCTCGGAGCTCTACGGACAATTCCTTTGACCTCATGGCTTGGTTTTTGCACTGACATGAACTGTCCACTGTGGGACCTTATATAGACAGGTGTGTGCCTTTCCAAATCATGTCCAATCAATTGAATTTACCACAGGTGGACTCCAATCATGCTGTAGAAACAACTCAAGGATGATCAATGGAAACAGGATGCACCTGAGCTCAAATTCGAGTCTCATAGCAAAGGGGCTGAATACTTATGTAAATAAGGTATTTCTGTTTTTTATTTGTAATACATTTGCAAAAATTTCTAAAAACCTGTTTTCACTTTGTCATTATGGCTTATTGTGTGTAGATTGATGAGGGGGGAAAAAAACAATTTAATCAATTTCAGAATAAGGCTGTAACGTAAACAAAAATGGTGGTCTGAATACTTTCCGAAGGCACTGTACATAACGAGCAGTCTATGGTCTAGCTATTGGTATTCTCACCACTACTGGGGACCAACGAACTCCGACCACCTATCCCGCATGATAGGGTCCTTCGGCAGGTCATGCAAACCATAGATGTTGGCTGTGCATCATGCTGGAAGCATGCATTGCATGGTGAATCTGTATAGGGCTTTTCAGTCTCAAATGGCTCAGAACGCATTGGTTGGATGAAACAACAATGAAACAACAGAGCCCCATTCAATGAAGGGAAATGGGCGGAGGGGCGATTTGCACGTGGAGCTTGGCAAAAGGGGGCATGATTTGTTGACATAATTGTAATCCAAAACCAACCTACATTTACTCGTTGTGACGCACTGAGGTTCCAAACTCAATTTTAGACAAGACTGACTTTATTACCAAAATGATCCTATTTACACTTTGTGTTCAGTTTTGACAATAGAATGAATGTTTCTGACTCATATCGATGCCACATTATGCCGTTTTCAAAGGGATTAGTTGTTTTTTAGGGCACACTCTTTAACTATGGAAATGAGCAAAAGCTGTGTGCATTAAGGAAATAGAAGCCTGGCTCAAATAGAAGCCTGTCTCTAATAAGCACCTGTTGTGTTCAGTGATTTAAGCAAATAAATGCCCGGCTATTAATTTAAGTTTTTAGTTTAATGGGTAGTCAGGTTACTACAATTTTCATGCCCTTTCTTGCTTTGGCTTCACTCTCAACCATGTGATCTTGACTCACACAGCTTTCAATGAGAGAAAATCTCCCAGTGTGCTTTGCACGGTTTAGGAAAAATATGGCAGAAGTGGATGCTGAGTTCGAATCAAGCAGCACGTCGAGCAAAGTTGGTGAAGATGAATGTTCTGAATGGACAATAGTAGTAGCGAAAACTGGAACAAAAAGGAAAGGGTCTAAAATTGGAGTGGAGGATATGTGTATGAATGATAAAGAATCGCTTCTTGTTGGGATGCGTTTGTTGACTAAGGATGAATATGTGGGAAACCTGTTTGAGGTGTTGAAAATGGTGAAGTATGCACTGGGAAAAGTGGAGTCTGTCAGAGTGACCAGGAGTGGTTTTATTTTGATGAAATGTATTTCTGAAGAACAGAGGAAGATTGCAGTGAGCCTCAAAAGAATCCGAACAACAGAAGTTTTGTGTTTTAAATTTCGAAGTCGAGCACCCGTCAAAGGAGTAGTCTCAGAGGTGACGACGGATGTTCAAGTTGAATATCTGATGAAAGTTCCTGTTGTGGTTGGTGCCCGGCATCTGACCCGATGGGTGAATGGAGAAAAATAATAAAGTCTGTCGGTCCTGTTGTTTTTTGATAAAGAGCAAATACCTATGCATGTGAAGCTTGGTTATGTAAGATTCACTGTAAGAGATTTCGTCCCCAAACCATTGCAGTGTAGGTATTGTAAAGGATTTGTCCATGTTTCAAGTGTGTGCAGATGGACAGAGTAAATTGAAGAATGATGTGGAGAAGGACGACGGTGTTGCAATTGTGGTGGGGATCATGAACCCAAGTGCCCTGTAAGGGTGAAGGAGATTGAGGTGGCAAAAGTTAGAGCAGTCAATCGAATCCCCTATGCTGAGGCAATTAAAATAATTGAGAAAACAAGTGATACTAGTGAATATATGGTAGTGGACGCACCACAGCCTATAGTAAATGTTTGCTGCCAATCAAAAGATACCCTGTGTGTTAAAAAGGTGGATTTTGTGGCCTTAATTGCCACAGTTATAAACTGTACAGCACAAGTCTCAAAGAAGTCTAAGAAACTGGACATTACTGTGGCTGCGGCAGAAAAGTTTTTGGGACTTTACATCTGAAGACTTGCAAGGGGTACTGGTGCCAGAAGACCCGCCCTCCCAGGTTCCCCTTGAGCCTGTGTAGGGATCAGATCTGTTTTATTTTTTAACAGAAAAGTTGTTTGATTTGGTTTAGTTTATTTATTAATTGGTAGTTTGGTAATATATATATATATATATATATATATATATATATATATATATATATATATATATATATATATAGTATATACATTTTGTTCAATTTTTGTGAATCCTTTTTCCATCCCGCACAGTAGGTGGCAGGATGCACATTAAATTGTGCGATAGCCAAAATACCATAGAAGAAGTGTGCTTTGCATAAGGAAAAACAAAGATGGGAATTCAGGAACCTGGTCGCGGACGTTAGAGAAATTGTCACCTGTGAATCGATTAGTTGAGCGGCACAAAAACCTTCATTTTTCACAATTGACAAACGTCCCCTTCGATTTAATAACACCTCATTTTAATACACAGAAACGGAACAAAATGCCTTCTCCTAAAGCCAAAAACAGCGCAAATCGCAGCGCAGGTGGAAGCTCGGGTCTCAGTGGCAGCACCAACGGCAACGGACGCTACGAGTTCATGTCGCTGAACCGAACCCCTCCACCCACTCTCATCCAACGGCAGGGCTCCGACCCAACCGCCGCAGCCAGACTGCGGTCCTCTGAGAGCCCTACCCGGCGAAGGGGCTCCGGGTCCTCCACCTCGTCCAACACAGGCATGCCCGAAGAGGATTGTATGCGGCTCAACCCTTCATTTATCGGGATAGCCCTCAGCTCCCTCCTCGCCATAGACCTGTGGCTTTCCAAGCGGCTGGGGGTGTGTGCCTGTGAAGATTCCTCATGGGGTAGCATTAGACCATTAATGAAACTTATAGAGATTTCTGGCCATGGAATACCATGGCTGGTTGGGACAGCCTACGGCCTGTACAAGGCTGACAGTGCAGCAGGACAGGAGGTTATGCTAAACCTCTTCATGGGTAAATATGATATCATATTAATTGTTTTATTCATAGTAGCCTAATACTAACAGGAAGCCTCCCATACATAGCCGGAAGGCTCCTATTATGTTGCCTCCATAGAATGCCACCTCCTGTTCTTATTGTCATGCATCCTGACATTTATCCCTATCCCCAGCCATTTTTACAGCAGATACACATTGACTCACACACCCACCCTGCCAGGAGGACGCCATACTCAACATTTAAATAATGAATGTTGGTGTTTTTATTAGATCTGTGGGTAGCCTACAGAAATATTCTGAAATGGTTTCCTCTTCCTCTCTCCTCTTTCTGTAATAATGTTAGAACCGGTGGAAGATGAAAGCACATCCTTGGTACCCATCCACCCATCTTGTGCTTTCAGATGAATATCAGTACAGATAAGTCTGATGAGGAAAGGATTTGGCCCGCACATCCCTTATCCTAATTAGCATGCATCCGTCCCCTCATCAACCCCAGTCCAGCCTTACAGCTGAAACACACACACACACTATACACCAATTTCACCCATCCCTCCACAATATTTTATTTTTACTCTTCCTGTTTTTCCTTTCCTTCCTTCGGTGCCAGTTCCTTCTCACCTGTAACTGTCATCCCACCGTTCATCCTGCGCTCCACCGGTTTCTCTCCTCCACTGTTTCCTCTCCTCCACCGGTTTCTCTCCTCCACTGTTACCTCTCCTCCACTGTTTCCTCTCCTCCACTGTTTCCTCTCCTCCACTGTTTCCTCTCCTCCACTGTTTCCTCTCCTCCACTGTTTCCTCTCCTCCACTGTTTCCTCTCCTCCACTGTTTCCTCTCCTCCACTGGTTTCTCTCCTCCACTGTTTCTCTCCTCTTGAGGCAAGATTTAGGAGATTATTGGGATTAGGCCTAGCCAAAATACTACAGTAGATTGTGGTGTAGACACTGGTTGCCAAGCCAGACAGCCACCTAGAACTCAGATGTCTGACTCAGGGACCTCAGTAAACACACACACACACTCTTCTGATGCCAGATGTGCACACACAAACACACACACCGAGTAAACATGTGCGCACATACACTAACAATGCTAATGCTAGAATACACGTACACACACACACACATGGGAGAGTAGGCAGAGAGTTGTCATCTGGAGTCTTCCAGCTCTATGAACAGTCAGACACTCTAGAAGCGACAGACAATCTCCCCTGTTGCTGTGTAGTGGTGGTGTGGTCCGGGGATGAGGGAGACAGACAGACCGAGAGAGAGAGAGAGAGAGAAACAGACAGACATACAGAGAGACAGACAGATGTCCTCTGCAGTGTGTTCAGGGTCGTTCCACCTTAAAAAGCACCAGAAAGAGGATTTCGACACCCACCATCTCAGATTGTTCTGAAATAGTTTCTGTTGCTAGAAAGAAATAAGATTAGCATTCCTGCAACATTATTTTGTTGAAATATAAATAGATCTCTATAGTCCCGTGTAGCTCAGTTGGTAGAGCATGGCGTTTGCAACGCCAGGGTTGTGGGTTCGATTCCCACGGGGGGCCAGTATTAAAATGTATGCACTCACAAAAAAAAAACTGTAAATCGTTCTGGATAAGAGCGTCTGCTAAATGACTAAAATGTCAAATGTAATCTCTGAGAAATTAAGCGAATTAATTGCAGCCAAATTGGCGATTTGGACCCCCAAAAATTCCAACAATGAGTAAGACATGAGGAAATAGTGAAAAGCCACCTACGGACCCCCCATGCCAACGAGTATACAGTATCAGTTCTCTATGTTTGACAAGTAGTATGGCGCTGCGGCTCTGAGTATTGTTTCTGTAATGCATTCTCAGTGAATTTGGGGATGTTTTTTTTTCCCCCGTTCAGAAAAATGTGTCATTCAAGCTGTCAGGTTTATGTTCCATTCTACATCCTGATATTACCAGGTTCGGATCACTAGATAGTGCTGTTCCTGCTCAATGTTAAAAGGATAGTTCACCCAAATTACTAAATGCAACCCATGCTTCAAATGGTTTTGTTTACCTTGCCACTGTTTCAAATGCAAACGTTTTAGCATTTGTGGCACAAATCCAATGAAAATGCTAATATAGGTACCATGGACTAGCATTTGAAACAGTGACCAGGAAAACAAAACCAAAGCATGGGTTGCTGACGTACCGTTTGTGATTTGAGTGAACTATCCCTTTAACATTGGGAGGGATACTTTAAATATCAGGATGTAGGATGGGACATAAACCTAAACTTCAATTACTAATTTCTCTGAACAGGGAAAAAATATATAAAATTCACTGAGAATGCGTCACGTGGGATGAAGAAACAATACTCGGAGAACACGGAGAACTGATATTGCATACTCGTTGTTGGGATTGCTGTGGGGAGTCCATGGGTGGCTTTTGACCAATTCTTTGGAATCCTCATGTCTTACTCATTGTTTTTGTCCAAATTGGATGTTATGTACTATATTTATTGAATATTATTTGAATCCTATCATTTAAAATGGTCAATTTGGGTACAATCCATTAGCTTCATTTCTCAGAGATCAAATTATATTTCAACAAAATAATGTTGCAGGAATGCTAATCTTATCTGTTTCTAACTACAGAAACAATTTCAGAACAATCTGAGATGCTGGGTGTCATAGTTTGCTGAAATGACATGGAACGACCCTGCAGTATATTGGGTCTGATCAGTACAGTAGCAGTGTGTGCCAACTGAGTGGTAGTCCGTGGTAGTCTGTTGCTGTGTGATGCAGGCAGAGAGACCGGAGAGGAGGTCCCTGTCATGTGTGATGCAGCCGTAGGGGCTGCAGGAGCCAAAGACAGCTGCTCTTTTATAGCCCAGAGAAGGACACCTCTAGGATGAAAAGACTGCAGCACTCTCTCTCTTTCCCTCTCTCGTTTCTCTCTCCTCACACACTCGCTCTCTCTTTCCCTCTCTGGCAAAAGGCCAAAGCTGTCACTGAGCTTGTGTGTGTATGTGACAGAATGTGTGTGTGAGACGGCGTGATATGTGGGAAGAGCTGAGGATCAAACTGGTGTGGAGGTTAATGGTGTCTCCCAGTGATGTCTGCTAGAATCAAGATGACTTTATTATCAGCCACAGCTTGTTTATTATCCCTTTATGGTTTGTAGGATGGAGAAAGATGATGACACTCAATCAATCCACTTTATTTGTCCCAGGGGGAAAATAGTTGTCCTAGTTATTTTTATTTGGGTGGAAAGATGATGGGATATTATTAGTGTGATGTGTGTTGCTGCTAATGCTATATGCTGGGTGTCTGTTTATTCATTAGTGTGTGCGCATATATATTTGTTTGTTTTACAATTGTGTGCTGTGTAGGCCTACTGTTTGCTGACTGTCTGTGATATCTCTCTCTCTCTTCCTCATCTCCCTCCCCACTCTGCATCCTCTCTCCCCACCTCACCTCCCTCTCGCACCACCCCCTTCCCCCCAACTCTCTCCTCCCTCCCCTCAGCCCTCATTCTAGACCTGATCCTGGTCGGCATCGTGAAAGCTGTCGTCCGTCGGCGTCGCCCGTCCCATAACCGCATGGACATGTTCGCCACCTTCTCCGTGGACCGCTTCTCCTTCCCCTCGGGGCACGCCACCCGCGCAGCCATGTGTGCCCGCTTCTTGCTGGCCCACCTGGTCCTGGCCGCCCCCCTCAGGGTGCTGGTGTTCTTGTGGTCTGGTCTGGTGGGGCTGAGCCGGGTGCTACTGGGCAGACACAACGTGACCGATGTACTGTTTGGCTTCCTAATGGGCTACTGGCAGTACAACCTGGTGGAGATGCTCTGGGTGTCATCACTGGGCCTGCAGGGGCTGCTGGGACTCATCCAGGGGTGAGGAGGAGGAGGGGAGATTGAGGAGGGTTAAAGAGGGTGTGGATGGTGGGAGACCCTGTCTCAGTATGTTTGAAACATTGACTGATCCTGCCCCGTACTGACACTGTGGTAACTCATCATTTCAAGACAAACAACAGCAACAACAAAGGCTGCCACCCACCAATCATCCATCCACATGGAACTGCAATCAGAAGCACCTACAGTAGGAGCAGGATGCTCCTGCACACTGCATCACAGCACTGCTGCAAAGACCTGGAACACTTTCCACTCTACTGTAATTCGCTGTTTAAAAAAGAGAGTGTGTGTGGAATATTAATGTGGTGTAATAAGCCGGGGGGTTGTGTTGCCCCCAATACAGTCTTCTGTTCTTCTTCCAGCTTTGGAGGTTTGGGGCTCTGCAGTGATGAGAGAGAGTGTGTGTGTGTGTGTGTGTCAGAGTGCCGTGTTCTCTTAGAGGGGAGAATGACTGCTATAGATTACAACTTAAATTGATTATGGTGTCTGCGGGTCGCTCTGAAAAGAGCATCATATTTTATGGAGGATTAATTTTGTATAGACTTATTTTAAACTTGTAAGGCTGAAAAATTGAATGGTTTGTCTTTTATTTCTCACTGTGAAATATAATTACCCTGAATGGGTTATTGAGGGTCTTGAGAAATAATTCAAGTTTTCTACAGATGACTGCATGCTCAATAATAATTAACTGATGATGATTTTTTAACCAGAGACGAAAGCATGGTTTTCACTCTAGATCAGGTTTCCCAACAACTTAACAGCAACGCAGACATCAAACCTGTAGTTGATTATTTCATAACCTTTTAATGTGTTAAACCTCTGGCTAGGCTGACCAGACCACGTCATCTCCCCTTATCCAGGGTTCTGAGACGTGATCCTGGAGGGAGAAAGTGGTCATCTTCATATCAGCATGGAGAGTTGATGCTTTATGGTAACTGTCTGATTAGTTGTGCAACAGCCAGGGTTGCAACAGGTTGTCAGTGGTTGGAGGGAAGATGGGAGAGGGGGCAGGTTTTATACTTCTTGCCCAGAGATAAAGTAGAATAGCCTTTTTTGCCTTTCGAATAGAGATCACACAGTGAATGTCAAAGAAAGTTTGCTGTTTCCTGCTGTATGGTTTTGTTTACAGGTGTAACTGACACACACAGACATTTTACTGTTTGTGTGTTGGCGTAGACAAGAGCACCAGTCTAAGGACCATCATTAATGTTTGTCCAGATTTAACCCCTGAGTGATGCCAGCTGTAGTAATGGTGTAACCATGGTGCGTGCCCAGACTGATGGTTGGGTGTGGGGCAGATCCAGTGGCGAAGTGCTTTGCACCCTGTCCTTAATTGCCCTACTGCTAAACTGCCCTCTGCTCTGACTGCTGGTGCACCTGCACCATAGGCCATGGCCTCCCCTCTCTATGAATGTACATTCTCTGGTGCAATTTGCATGTGAGGCAGGCGTGAGAGACCCATACAAAGAGTTCTCAGCTGTCCTGGGTGTTCACAAAGTGTTTCTGTGTGTTTACACAGACAGCAGCCATTTTATGCTGTGGCCGTTGTTGTCATTTGGCTGTTGTTGATGACACATTGTAAATATCCTGCACAGACACTAATCAACACTATTTTGTTGACTCGGATGAATAATAGTCCCTCTTCTCTCCTTCTCTCCTCTCTCTTCAACTCTGAAATCAACACTCCTCTCTCTCTCTCTCTCTCCTGTCCTTCTCTCATCTCCTGTCAGTTGAGTGGGTTCTGCTGTAGCTGAGAGAAACCGGGAAGAGGTGTGTGTTGAGACCAACCACTCGAACACCGCTCTGATTAGATATGGAGGACAGCTTATTAGCCTTGTCTCTCATTTTCACCGCCTTTCATCCTCACTCTATTAAATCTCTCGCTCTCTCTTTCTCTCTCTTTCTCTCTCTGTCTCTCTTACTGTCTCTTTCTTGCTCTGTCTATCTCTTCCTCTCTCTCTGTGCACAGAGGAGAAGAGTCAGACTCAATTACCTATTCTCTGTTCTTCAGTTGCTGTTCACTATTGATCTTTCATCTTTCATGAACCACTACCTCCTCCCTTGACTCCCCACCCCTCTCTCCCCTGGAACTCTACCTCCCCTCACTCATCTAGTCTTATGTAGCATCCAGGCACAAGTATGATTCCAAACCAAACATGCATTTGTTGAAGTCTTTTACAGTGGAGGATTTGGTCATACGTTGCCATGCAGTGAGTGTACCTACACATGATCAGCTGATCTTGATTAGTCTTCATGTACTGTTCTCTGAGGGATGGTCTACATCAGTAGCGGCTCTCTTTCTCTGACTGTTGTAAATAATCCATTGAGTTACTCTCTGATCTATTTGAGACATGCTGTATAATCCAGTAGTAGAGACTAGAGCTAACCAGTCAGTGGTTCTTGAATTTGTACGATTCGACCAATGGCGTGGCTTCCCCAGAAACTGCTTCCTGTACCCAGCCAAAAGCAATCATGGTTCTCTTAACATCGCAATAAGGAATAACGCATTGCTGTTCTTCTGTTTTTATTGTGTTATCTACTCACTAAGGAATGTCTGAAAATGTAATGCCCAATCCAAGCAATATGGCTGACATTCCACCCAGCTTAAAGTTGAGACTTTTTAGATCTACAGTATAGGCTAATTGTGTGTCCCAAATGGTACCATATTCCCTACATAATGCACTTCTTTTGATCAGAGCCCTATGGGCTCAGGGGTTGGAGCTAGTAGTCTGTTTGGAACTGTGCCCCACTAGTCTGGGCATCTCCACCTCTGTACAGTCCAAGATAAAGTATGCAGACACAAATGCCACTTCACAAGATCTCACCAGCTTGATACACTGAATTATAACTTTAATCTATTGTTGTGTTATTGTATAATCTTTCATCTGTAATGTCAAATTAATGAAGTGTAATGTCAAAATGTATGTACATAATGCTGTATTCATCTTATGCGTTATATTATAATGGGTTGACTGTACAGTTGAAGTTGGAAGTTTACATACACTTAGGTTAGAGTCATTAAAACTTGTTTTTCAACCACTCCACAAATTTCATGTTAACAAACTATAGTTTTGGCAAGTCGGTTAGGACATCTACTTTGTGCATGACACAAGTAATTTTTCCAACAATTGTTTACAGACAGATTATTTCACTTATAATTCACTGTATCACAATTCCAGTGGGTCAGAAGTTTACATTCACTAAGTTGACTGTACCTTTAAACAGCTTGGAAAATTCCAGAAAATGATATCATGGCTTTAGAAGCTTCTGATAGGCTAATTGACATCATTTGAGTCAATTGGAGGTGCACCTGTGGATGTATTCCAAGGCCTAACTTCAAACTCAGGGCCTCTTTGCTTGACATCATGAGAAAATCAAAAGAAATCAGCCAAGACCTCAGAGAAAAAATTGTAGACCTCCACAAGTCTGGTTCATCCATGGGAGCAATTTCCAAACACCATGGGACCACGCAGCCGCCATACCGCTCAGGAAGAAGACACGTTCTGTCTCCTAGAGATTAATGTACTTTGATGCGAAAAGTGCAAATCAATCCCAGAACAACAGCAAAGGACCTTGTGAAGATGCTGGAGGAAACAGGTACAAAAGTATCTATATCCACAGTAAAATGAGTCCTGACATAACCTGAAAGGCCGCTCAGCAAGGAAGAAGCCACTGCTCCAAAACCGCCATAAAAAAGACAGACTACGGTTTGCAACTGCACATGGGTACAAAGATTGTACTTTTTGGAGAAATGTCCTCTAGTCTGATGAAACAAAAATAGAACTGTTTGGCCATGATGACCATCATTATGTTTGGAGGAAAAAGGGAGTCTTGCAAGCCGAAGAACACCATCCCAACTGTGAAGCACGGGGGTGGCTGCATCATGCTGTGGGGGTGCTTTGCTGCAGGAGGGACTGGTGCACTTCACAAAATAGATGGCATCATGAGGAAGGAAAATTATGTGGATATATTGAAGCAACATCTCAAGACATCAGTCAGGAAGTTAAAGCTTGGTCACAAATGGTCTTCCAAATGGACAATGATCCCAAGCATACTTCCAAAGTTGTGGCAAAATGGCTTAAGGACATCCAAGTCAAGTTATTGGAGTGGCCATAACAAAGCCCTGACCTCAATCCTATAGAAAATGTGTGGGCAGAACTGAAAAGGCGTATGCGAGCAAGGAGGCCTACAAACCTGACTCAGTTACACCAGCTCTGTCAGGAGGAATGGGCCAAAATTCCCTCAACTTATTGTGGGAAGCTTGTGGAAGGCTACCTGACACGTTTGACCCAAGTTAAACAATTTAAAGGCAATGCTACCAAAACTAATTGAGTTTATGTAAACTTCTGACCCACTGGGAATGTGATAAAAGAAATAAAAGCTGAAATAAATAATTCTCTCTACTATTATTCTGACATTTCACATTCTTAAAATAAAGTGGTGATCCTAACTGACCTAAAACTGAATTTCTACTAGGATTAAATGTCAGGAATTGTGAAAAACTGAGTTTAAATGTATTTGGCTAAGGTGTATGTAAACTTCCGACTTCAACTGTATATGGTTGCAAATGTGACTGTTTATTCTATGGGTTTTGGAGGTATACTCCAGAATGATTGCACTGCAAATATTTTTTATAAATACAGTATATATATAAAAAAATACAGTATGAAAAGTTGTGACCTTGACTCTCCAAGTGGTTTATAGTTTGCTATCTAGGACAAAATGACATCTAGGACAACATACATTCCAAAATAATGGGTATTAATATGGAGTTGGTCCCCCCCCCCTTTGCTGCTATAACAGCCTCCACTCTTCTGTGAAGGCTTTCCACTAGATGTTGGAACATTGCTGTGGGGACTTGCTTCCGTTCATCCCCAAGAGCATTAGTGAGGTCAGGCACTGATGTTGGGCGATTAGGCCTGGCTCGCAGTCAATGTTCCAATTCATCCCAAAGGTGTTCGATGGGGTTGAGGTCAGGGCTCTGTGCAGGCCAATCA